ATTATTTGAAAAAATTAATATATTACAGTATAGAGCATTACGTGTTTGCATTGGAGCTATTAAGTCAACTCCCATTAACGCAATACTCATAGAAACAGGTGAGTTACCCCTGAAGCTAAGAAGAGAAAAACTTGTACTAGCATATTGGATACGATTGAAAGGAAGTGGGAAAGAAAACCCTACAAAGGAGATAATACAGGATTGTTGGGAGTATTCAACCCGATCTCATGAAAGTGCGTAAAAATAGTACGCCAAATAAAAACGAAAACTCGTGGTATTGATACGCAAAAATGGTAGGTTTAGGGCTGTGGGGTAGATGCGTATCATATGTAAGCGAAAACTGCGTATCATATGCACGCCAACAAATTTCGTGTCATATGCACGCGAAAACTGCGTATTATATGCACGCCAAACACATGCGTATCATATGTACATATGTTTTCGTTTTTATTTGGCGTACTATTTATACGCATTTTCATGAGACCGGGCTCGAGTATTCCAAATTTCAGGGGCATGGGTTTGGATGGAACGGAGAAAAGAGAGTGAGGGAATATGGAACGGAAGCCTTAGATTTCACTACGCTCACCCCAGTTAGTAACACTCCACCATGGTTTTTTCCAGAGGCAAAGACAGATTTTAGTATCATGGAAAAGAAAAAGGAATGGAGATTGGAGGAAGTGGGAGTTAAAACAAGCATTTATCTAAGAAACAGTTATTATAATTATCTCAAAATGTATACAGATGGATCCAAGAACAAACAGGAATGTGTGGGAATTGGAATACATACCCCAGAATTTAAAATTAATATTTCCAAAAGATTATCTGATCAGTTATCTGTATATACAGCTGAAATTGTGGCAGTCATCATTGCGTTACTGTGGGTTGAAGAGATCAGACCTGACAGGGTGTCATAAAAAGCATTCAGTCAATGACATCTGTCAGAGAAGATTTACTGATAGAACTCTATCACAGTTTGTTAAGATTACACAGGGGTGGTATAGATGTTCAGTTTTGTTGGGTGCCAGCACATGAGGGTGTGAAAGGGAATGAAAGTGCAGATAAATTAGCAAAAGAGGCGTTGCAAAAAGAAATATCAGTTCCAATACCACTTGGAAAAGGGGAGGGAAAAGCAGTAGTTAAGAAGAAAGGTATTGAAATATGGCAGAAATGGTGGGAGGAAGACAAGAAAGGAAGGGGATATTATAAAATACAAAAGTCTGTTAGCATTAAAAATTATAGAGAAAGGAATAGGCGGGAAGAAATTTTAATAACAAGACTGAGAGTGGATCACACAGGACTGAATAGCACCTTGTTTTTAATGGGGAAAAGGAATAATGAGAATTGTGATAACTGCGGGGTTAAAGAAAATGCTGAGCATGTCATATTACACTGTATAATATATGAGGTGGAAAGTCGGGTGTTTCAAGATAGGGTTCAGGAGGCAGGGCGGGAGTCATGATGAGGATACTGGGAACAGGAGAGGGAGGGGGGATAATGACAACCAGGAAAGCATTATTTAAATTCCTTAATGATACAGGGTTAATGAGCAGAATTTGAGTACACTTAAAATGACATTATGTTACACAATCTTGTACAGTAGGTGGCGGTATGCACCTAAAAGTGGTTTGCAATCCGCCATTAACTAAGAGAAGAAGAAGAAGAACATTATCCGACATAAGTATCACGTCATACCATTATATCTATGCACAACAACGTAGAGGCGCGTTTATTCACGTAAAGGTAAGGAAAGTCCGAATGTCAAATGAATGTCCAATAATATAAAACCAACTTTACCGCGATGTCTGCGTCCGGCTGGAGTTGGAGGCTCGATCAGGTCTGTACTTTGGAAATGTCGGCTACACACTCTTGTCTTGTCTGTAACTGTAAAAATTGTCTCTTCGTATATTAACTACCCACCTCTTCCGTATTTCCTTGTCTTTGGGAAACGTGTGGAAACTGAGGAAAGAGTTAAATTTAGAAGATGCTGTACATTGCGGCACACAGCAGTGCTAGTTAGAAGTGCTGTCCTCCCGTCTTTGAAATTATACTTTCATATGTTTAGATGACATTATGATGTAAATGAAGTAAACATAAATACGTAGGCTATATCTATATAAAGCAAAAAAGCATCAACACAATTATCCGTAGCTGTTTTGGTAACTAGCGTTCCTGTAGTAGCACAGTACTCTATGATCGGCGGAAGTAAGCGAGGGTCCTGAGATTTCACCGGAAATACGTCATGCACCGCCGTGCATAGAGCCTATTGTGACGTCAACACGATGTAGATTTTAAACCCGGAAGATGAAAACAGCGCAAAAAAGCTTAAAATTAACCCGTTTTCTCCAACAGTAAAAATTATTGGATGCTAACATTGTATTCTATGATGTGCAACACGTCACCTCTGCTAAAATCTCAGAAAAAAAGTAGGCTGGGGTTTCATGACCCTTTAACTCCATTTGAGTATGATTTTCAGAAGGTAAGTGCAAGTGTCTGATCATATATAAAGCCAAAATACCAGCTCTGATGATGCAATGTTTAATTATTTGAGGGGAAAAATAATAAAAAATACGTTTCCCCTTCCTATCTTTTTTTTTTTTTTTTTTTGTAATGCTTAGTGGTGTGCCATGGCAGAAAAAAGGTTGGGAAACACTGTTAAAACACTTTTTAAAAGTTTGCAAGGTGGTTAAATGATGCCTGTGTTCATTTTTTTTATCAAGTACTGTACATTTTTTACTTTACATTTAAGTACAGTAGCCTACAGTTTTTTTTCTTTTTTTACTTTTTAAGTACAGTGCAGTTTTCATATAACTTTTAGGTACAGTACATTTTAATTTAATCATTTACCTGTATGTAAGCACAGTGCAGTGTTAATTTTCAAACTGTATTTACAATGTTTAAAGTGGCAGACAATAATAAATATTCTTATTAGGAATAAAACTGCCTCATTTTTTAACTGTAATAATTAGGTCTACTACGCTACTGTATTTTAATGTTGGTCATTATGGTGGTACTTGGAGAGCCAAATATTTTCTGAGGTGGTACTTGGTGTAAAAAGTTTGAGAAGCACTAGTATAGCGCATAGAAATTTAAGTGAGAAGTGATCAATTTAAGGTAAACGCGTATGTCAGTCAGACATACAAATCTAATGTCAGAGCTCTTCAGTTTTATTTGTGATGAAATGGTTAAATACATGTTTGACCAATAATGTGCCAAAAATAACTACCAATGAAGGAGTGTGCAGCATATCTAAGATGGGAGATTCTATCTAAAGGCACAACAGTTATGTTTGAGTGTAGAAATCATTTATACCAGGGGTTGGGAATCGGGTCAAGAAGCCATTTGAAAAAAATGTTTGCTGCATTTTTTTGAAAGAGCCATATGAAAGGTCATTTTACTATTACACAGTGATCAAGGTTTGTTAATAAAAATTTAAAATTAGTGCAACAGACTAGTAAAAAAAAAATGCACACACACACATCATATAACTAATTATAACTTTTATTTGCTTGTTATTTTAGTTGCTATGAAAGATTTGACCAGGGTGTTATTTTCCAACCATGCAAATTCAATAAGCTTATCTTTAGAAAATAAAATATTTTCCCGCTTTTCTTGTTGTATGATTATGTAACACTATTCTAGTTTACTTAAGCATTCTATGGTAAGTGGTGGTGGGGTGAATGTCTACGCTTTCCTCTGTGTACATAAATCCTTACAACTACAATTTTAGCTATATTATTTGCGTCCTCTTCAAAAATTGCTTTTGAAAAATGTTACGCTTATTGTCCCAAAACGGTTAGATGAACTTTACTTATTTAAAATACATATTTGTAATACAAAATACCGTTTTGTATTTTTAAGCCTTTGAAAAAAATCTAATGTAATTTGTGTTTAAATACATTAGACAAAAACATAATTTGAAAATTATTTATTTTCAAAATAAAACACTTTGTGCCAGTCAGCCTCTTCATTATTTCCTGTACTGATTACTGTTCAGGTATATCAGCCCCAACACTATCATGTACACTAGCTGCAGATGTTAGAGTAAATTGCTCCATATATCACTGGGGAGCAAAAAATGTGTTGTGTGGGAGCAAACCCACCCCAGTAAAGTATAAAAATTACTCAATGAAAAAATGAGTGATATTACAATTTATTTGAAAAAAAAAAAAAAAACCTCCAGGAGCTTCCTCAAGTAAGCGTACCCTAAAAGAGGGACAGATTGACAGAAAGAGAGACAAAAAGGGGAACAGACAATGACACGTATGGTTATTCAGACAATCTCAGACTGATAACATGAATGGTAACTCTGGTAAATGTTAACATTTGGAACATACCTTTGGAAGAATTTGTTTGCATTCGGGCCCGCTCTTTTCTTCCCCCATCTCTGTCCAAAGTGAGCAGCAGCCATCTTTGATGAACTTTTCAATCTCTCCATCTGATGCCCTGCCAGTACTTGCATTTCTTTGCACTGATTGAAAAAAAAAGAGAAAAAAAAAAGAGATCAGTCGCAATACTATAGACCAGTGGTGTCAAACTCAATTCCTGGAGGGCCGCAGCTCTGCAGAGTTTAGCTCCAACCAGCTCCAACTCACACCTGTTTGGAAGTTTCTAGTAATCCTGAAGACCTTGATTAGCTGGATCAGGTGTGCTTGATTATGGTTGGAGCTAAACTCTAGCACTATGTCAGCAAACTCACAATTATAGCTTTATTATTATAAATAAACATTACTTTGATATTATATGTGTAGAACGGTTTATTAAAATATTATGTTATATGTTAGATTATCAAATGTTTACTCACCAGTGTATTAAGTTCTTCTGGTCTTCTGGCAGTTAGCAGCACAAAAAGGCCGTCAGGTTTTGTCATTAGATGTCAAAGCTAGTGCGCATGTCTTGAAACTCATATAGGGGATGGGGGCGTGACGTCACGTCTCTAGCGCCGTGGTGGCTGATGGGAAAAATCGCCATATTGTGAGGCCACTTGTTGTGACGCACCGAGGATGTTGTAGTCATTGGAAGAACCTGTTGTGTTGTTGGATGTAATGTCTGTTCACACGATCGACGGGGCAAAAATTTAGACAACGAACTTTCTTTTTATTGTTTTCCGGCCTGGAAACAGAATGAAGGGAGTCATGTGTCCGATGTAACCAAGTGGAGACGGATGGCCTGGATATCCGCTATAAGACGCACGGACATACACTTTGCAGACATCCCAAGATCATTGAAAGTGTGTTCCAGGCATTTTCATTCAGGTAAGTGTATAAACTTCAATTAGCAAATGATTATGTGTTCTCATTTTGTTCTGTTCCCGAGAGGAGTAGTCATAGGTTCCTCTGCATTTTGTAACTTAGCACTATTCTGTCGACATTGTGGCAAAATGAGCAAGCTAAGTTAGGCTAGTTCAAATAAAGTGCGCTGAATGAATGTGATCAAAACAAAGCACTCAGCTGAGCCACTCAGATATTCCGAGGTGTAACCCAGCCAGAACTAAGAAGTTTTGATCACTGTGAGTCTGTGACTGAAGCACGAGAAATTATCTTAATAACACTTGTAAGTATGTTTGCCACCTGAGTTCAGTTGGAACTGAAACGTGAAGTATCTAGTATGTAGTATATAAGTATATAGTATTCCCACTGTTGATTGCAATAATTTGTTTCAATATGGATACTTTTGTCTCCCCAAAGGTAAACCAGCATATGAGATGGACGAGTCTCATCCAGACTGGGCTCCAACCCTGCACCTGGGTCACTCTGAAGTCACAGCCACAGTGTCAGATCGGCATGCCCGCAGACAACATAGACATCATTTGAGAGAATCTGAGGGAGGAGGCCAAAATGAACAAAACAACGTGAACGAAGATGAGAGAGATGGAGTCCAAGAAGATGCAGGAGAAGAGGGATATGGGGATCAAGCAGAGGCAGGGGCTGCAGAAGAAGAAGAGCATGGGGATCAAGCAGAGACACGAGCAACGGAAGAGGAGGAAAATAGAGAACAGACAGAAACAGTCAAACCAGCTGCTAAGAGACTAAGAGCAGAATGCCAGCTCTGTGAGCAAAGCAGTGCAGAACTAACCCGTCTGTTGCAGGAAAATAGGGAGCTTAGGTCTGAGTTAAACAAGTTGAAGATGGATGAAGAGTTTTTCAAAGATAATACAGAGAAGGTACAATATTATACAGGACTTCCATGTTTTGCAATTTTGTTGTCAACGTTTACTACTGTTAAGCCCTTCCTACCAGTTGCAAAGAAGCTGTCACAATTTCAAATGGTTTTACTGACACTCATTCGTCTAAGGCTTGATCTTCCAATCCAGCATCTTTCACACATTTTTAATGTGTCACGTAGAACTCTTTCTGCTACCTTTGCCGACACCATAGATGTGCTGTATGCACGCCTTACTCCCTTGTTGTACTGGCCTGAGAGACACTGTTTACAAGCCACAATGCCACATCAATTTTTGGAAGCTTTTGGAAAGCGTGTTGCGATTATTGTTGACTGTTTTGAAATACGTACAGAGAGGCCGTCAAATTTAATGGCGCGCACACAATCCTTTTCCCACAACAAAGGTACACACACAATTAAATACTTGATAGGAATTACACCCCCAAGGCCAAATGTAATTTATTTCAAAGGGAGGGGAGGCGAGGGGAGGGGGGAACGAGCATCTGACAAGCACATAACCGAGAATTGTGGGCTTCTTAACAAACTGTTGCCTGGCGATTTAGTGTTAGCGGACCAAGGCTTTGATATTAAAGACAGTGTGGGAATGATGTGCGCGGAAGTTAAAATTCCTGCATTCACTAAACGCAGATGTCAACTCGATGCTAAGGATGTGGAAGACACACATGCTATAGCACACCTTAGGATACATGTAGAAAGGGTAATAGGTAGCTTGCGCAATAAGTACACACTATTACATAACACAATATCAATTAGTCTGTTGCTTCCCTGTAAGGATGAAGAATTTACCCTTCTTGATAAGCTAGTTAATGTTTGCTGTATTTTAGTTAACATGTGTCCAAGTGTTGTTGTAAGGCCAGATGAAACAGAAAAGTGTGCATGTTGAATGGTAAAAAGACCCCAGGAGAAATTGTTGGTTTCTATTTGGTGTGTGCGAGTGTGTGTGAATGTGTGGTACCCTCCTGAGCAGTGGCGGCTGGCCAATAGAGGGCGCTAGGGCGCCGCCCTCCCTGGACCACACACACAAAATAATAATTATATAAATTATTTAAATGTATATTTGTATGATGTGATATATTAGAAAATCATCTGTAAAAAAATATATGTTTTTACCATCATAATATGACTTCTCTGCCTGTCTGCACGTCTCAATTTCAGCTGAGGGGCAATCGAGAAATCGCCCACAGGAGGCGGGTCTTTGTAGAATTTAGTCAAATGCTGATTCAAGATATAAATATATTCAAGATGTGACATAAAATTTAGCCAATCAGCGTCCTCAAATCTTATCTGAAATGGGCGATTAATCAGGCGTCATTAATTCCAGACACAAACCTAACTCTGTAAAGTCTCTACTCCAAATTCCGTTTGAGAAGAGAACTTTTGGCAGAAAAACTGAAGATAAAAGAGCTGGGTCCAGATCAGCCTGACCTCTTAATCAGACAGCAGACAAGCGAAAAAGGGAAGAAGTACACGCGAAGCTACTCTTCCAGTTGGTACACCAAAAAGGCCTGGCTATGTGGGTGTGTTTCTGCTAATGCCTTATTTTGCTTTCCGTGCTTGCTGTTTAAAGCAACTGGGGCAGATCCAGCATGGACAGTTACGGGAGTGAGAGATATGAAGCACCTGTCCGAGAAAGTAAGAAAACATAAGAACACTAGGGCACACATGGATAATTCTGTCAAACTAGCCATTTTGGTAAGAGTTAACATCGCTACTCAGTTAGACGACGGCCACAGGATTGCGATAAGAAAACACAACGGGGAGGTGGATAAAAACAGGTATATTTTATCCAAGATAATTGATTGTGTTAAGTTTTGTGGGGCTTTTGAGTTGGCCTTGCGTGGGCATGACGAGACTGACTCATCAGACAACCCTAGCATTTTTAGGGGTTTAGTGGATTTTGTTGCCACGATAGACAATGTGCTAGAGGAGCACCTTAAGACAGCTACCGTTTTTAAGGGCACATCAAAGATGGTACAAAACCAGCTGTTGGACTCCATGCTATCAGTGGTAAAGGATTACATTCTGAGAGAAGAGCAAAATTCCTGTACACATAAGTCAAAAGAAAACATGCAGGGTTTTTTTTCACCACATTGATTTTCTTGTACATGGTTATCCTCAGATTTGTATCAGTCATGGAAGTATCCAAAATTTAACTGAGACTGGTAAATTAACTGAACAGAGATGATTTAACGAATAAACAGGTAACCAGATGTTCTTTAACTTTGTCTGCATTGCAATAAATCATATTGCAACGCTTGCTGTAATTGTTTGATGTGCCAATGTGCCACAGCCCCACCTCAAAATTTTTTCACCAGCCGCCACTGCTCCTGAGATTGAACATGTTTGTATTCAGTGTGTGTACCTTCCTTAGAATGAACATGGTATGCTATTTGTACCTTAAATACTTCAGATGAAAATGGATGACAATTTGAGCATTAAAAAAAAAATTTTAATAAAAAAAAAATCTCCTGCAAAGTGCAATGTTTAGTTTCTTGTGTTGAACTTCTTTGAAACACTGAATTTCAAGTAACAGGCTAATACTCTTTGAGTAAAGTAAAACACTTTTAAAAAAACTCTTAACTGAGTAGGCCTAAGTGCAATTCTTTCATAAACAACAGTCACTTCTTTACTACTGCTCTCTTTCACTTGGAACATGAGGCTGCATGTCCTTTGAGTAATATTTTGCCACAAGTTCTGGGAGGCACACTTTCTTGAAGAATTCTTGTGCTTTCTGTAGACGAGGTTCCCAGAACTCCTGGTCTGGAAAGACACGCACCACAGTGAAATCGTTTTCAGTCCAAACAACAAGATCACAGTGATTTGATTGGGTGACAAAAATCTGTCTGGATCTGTGTGTAGAAGCGGTGGTCTCTTTTCAACTGAAGGTTGTTTGAGGACAACTGGAGACAAAAGTCTTTGTCCTTCATGTTCAATGCCTGCTGGATGCTGCAGGACCGATACTTGAAAGGACATTTCACCTCCAGGCAGCCCTTCCCACAGCATTCACACATAGTCAGGCCATCCGGTGACGCTCTGATTTCAAGGAAGCTGCTGTTGATTATGAAGCCACACGGTTCGATTTTGAAGTTTGTCTGAGATGCAGCTCTGGATTCAGTGTCCAACTTAAACAACAGAGCACCTACATGAGTACAGGTCTCAGCTATCCCTGAAAAGATGTATATCCCTGTGATGTGTGTTTCACTAATCACAGGTAGGTAAGCAAGATGATACACACCTTTGTACGAACGACGGTGTTTTCACAACTCGGCGGTTTGTAGGCTTCCAAGTCATGGACCCAGACATTTGTGAACTGAACGTGGGCTTCCATTAGTGGTGCAGCGGATCACAACACTCACGGTTCGGATCATATTACGGATTTTGAGTCACGGATCGGATCATTTTTCGGATCAGCAAAAAAATAAATAAAATTTACTGAAAGCTTACTTAAAGTACTTCTATACCACAGCAAAAACTACTAGCTTAACTAATACAGTTAGTAATAAAACAAAAACAATTACTCAAATTACAAGCATTGATGATTACAACATAACACAGTTACAAATAAAGTCACTAACAGAATTCAGGAGCAGAAATATAATAATTAATTGTAGATTATCACAATAGTGCTGCACAAGTTAAATACAGGTTAATCTTTGTTAAAGCTGTGGTGTTATTTGATTAGCAGACAGAAGCAGGTATTTATTGGCTGCTGTCTCTTTAAGACCAAATGCACGGACCTAATACTGACACGCATCCGGTTTCTTTCTCAGCTGTTTACGTTCACTGAAGACATAACCGACTGTGTTTACTAGAATACTTGCCAAAACGTGTTGTCACGCGTTGTCTCTCTCTCTGCGTGTGCGCACTTCGGGTGCGTGCGGCAGCGGCTGAGCGCAAAGAAAACAGCACGCGAGTTAAAATTGCTTGAATGTGTAAATTGGCAAGAGAAAACATGGGCAAATGATAAACTTTCCCTCTATGATGGTTAATCCGCGAATCACATGCGTGCCGAACCGTGCAGCCTGATCCGTATGGATCATGGATCATCTACGATCCGTTGCACCCCTAGCTTTCATAGATTTAAAATTACGAAACTGAGCCTCGGTATAAGCACTCACACCACAGACTAAATACACAAAAATATCTGGAAATGTCAGAGGAGGTAAATCGTCTGGGTCTCAAGTACATTCTCTTGCAAGCACCTCATACGGATCCAGATTTCCGATCAATGCCATCTTTTCCAGGTACCGTTTTCTTGCGTCCGGTAGAAGTTTGTCTCTTTATAGTACATTTCGTTCATTTAATCGACTTTGCAACATTGTTTTCCACACATTTTCATGTAGTAACTGGTTGTTTTAAGCCTCGCCCGATGTGGCCTCACAATATGGCGGCACCCTCTTGTTTACGTCCCAGAATGCACTGCGCAGTGACGTCGGTTGCCAAGCTCTATAGCAAAAATTATGTTAAAGTTACCTTAACCACTTTAAGCTTTTTTAAATTATATTAATTAAATCATTAATTTCCAAATGTAGTTAAAGAAAAAAGAGAATGTTGGATAAAAGGGAAAAATATTAATAGGAATTAAAATAAAAAATACACTAAAAAATAACGTAACGAGGGCAGGTAAAAGATATTATGTTTAAGTTTAAGTGTCACTGCTACAAACTATTTACCACATTGTAAACGGAGACCCACCCCCAGCACTCAAACCTAAACTGGTCCGAGTATGCATGCCCATATCTCAGCCAAAATCAGACCAGCACTTTATGGTCCGTAATCGGGCCGAATGTGGCTAAATGTGCCGTGTCTCAGTGCAAA